GGATAATATTGTGATCTTTGTCATTAAGCTTGGCAAGAGAAGATTAGGAATTGTCAGCTTGATAATCGTATACGGACTATTTAGATTTTAGTTGTATGATATAACATAGGCGTGTACCTCAGGGTGGATATTTATATCTTTCTTCTTAAGCTGATAATGCTTACAGTTGGAGTATCGTCAACTTGATCAGTAGGTAAACATACCGTGGGCGAGTACGAACATTTGAAACTCGAACTGTTGAATCTCATATGATAGAACACAAATATGACGATGGTGGGTACAGGTGAGTGATTTTGCTACCGATTACAGGTAGGATGTTTGGCTGCAACAGGTAGATATAAAGTACGATACAGGTAGGACAACTGTATACAATATGGCCTACACCGATATACGCTTTTCATGTCGTTAATACATGTCTTCGATACAAAAAAACTCTGAAATATATTGTGGCTTGTAAAGTTGTACATATAATATGGAAATAAGTAAATAAAATTTAAACTAAAGGAATACTTGTAATCGTTTCAATTCGAACAGCGCGACACGTGTTTCCTCCCACATCCCTAGCTTATACCCTCTATCACCTAACGGTCTGGCTTATTGTTTCTGTTCCCGGTGGGTTTCTTTCCCCTGTGGGTTGGTTTGTACTTGTAATATGGGTTTAATGGGTTGATATCAATCAATTATAACCACTTAGTAAGTCTTTATACAATATGCACTACCTTAGTGTGGCGGGGTTTTACCTATACATATATATATATATCGCCTGAAGATGGCCAAAGACTTGAAAACGTTATCGATAATCAATTATATTTGTGTGTCCACATATAAATTCCCCTCACACCGGTCCTTGGTACTCATTGGTAACGCTTACTTCGTTCTTTACACAGTAACTCATGGACTATCCTCTAAGAATCGTGTTACTAGCTTATAGGAATACATTGGACAATCAAGTAATTTTAAGTGATAAGATAACAACATTGATTTATAACTAAGCGAGACAACTCTACCAAAAAATTCATACAAAGGTAGCATACAACCTTAACTCTGAATACGTAAAAGTGCTATTATTTTGAAGTAGAAGTTTAACCTCACCCTTCAATAATGTCAATACATAATTTATCTGTAGTTATGCACTCTTCTTATACATACTTTCCTGTACAAAAGCTTTCTAACCGAAAACAAACCACGCCTCCCGAAATAGACCCAATCGTGACGTCTACATGTTATCAAACCGATGTTCCCGGGGTCGGCGCATTCTTTACAGAATGTGTTAATCTTTCAAAATAATGTCAGTATGAAGTGTATCCCTTGTTTAAATATTTACTTTTCAGAAAAGAAAGTTAGTTTTGCAGTATCCGGTTTTTGTAGATTTTAATTAAATATCGTTCACTACGAGATCAAAGACGTGCCGACGCCATGACGTGGAAGGATTAATAGCACCGACAAACGTTCCGGTATTTGTGTAAATAGAATGTTTTCGTCTTGATGACCTTTAGATTAATGTAACATATATTTTCTTAAAAGTGATACAGTTCAATCAATATCCTACTTTTTACATCTTTGATCATACTTTCAAAGTTATCTCAGATTTTAGATTCTATCACATTCTTGATCAAGGCACATGCACAGGCACTTGAATTTTGTAATTAGAATAACAAATAAATTAGATGAATACATCATGAATTCTTTTTTAAAAACTACCAATCCCCCTACTTCGAACCTTTTTCATACAAGTGTTTAGAGGCCGATTAGGTTGCTGACCAGTAAAATAAAATCTATTTTCGTTATCTAATTTATTCATTTATTGTTTCAATGACTAAACTTTACAACGTAGTGCACGCGATCACGGACTTTTATACAGTGTACAATCATTTATGATCCGCCTGTCATTTTGACACCTACACACTTTACGTTGATTTATATCATACGGGTTCTGAGTCATGCACATGTGATACTTACATCATACAACATGCAGCAAAGCATATATTTAAGTGATGTACTTGAATAACTATATTGTTGTACCACTCTACACTTTCCAGACGTGGTAGTGGTGGAATCGTTCGAAATATAATCTCCAACACTAGATGACGTAACCAACTGGAAAACTAATCTCGGCGAAAAAAGGTTAAATAATTTGAATTTTTTTTTAATAGATAACCAATATAAAGAACTGCTGAGAAAATCAATCAAACTTATGGTACGCTTACCATTGTAGTTTGAACCGGTTTGATCAGAGTTGTTCGTTTATGAAATACGGTCGGACCTAGAAATCTGATTAGATTTCATAGGCGCAACAGTAAAACTGTAAGTACTGATGCTGCTTTCAGGCGAGCCTTGACATTTGCAGGTCCGCCAGTCTTCTTCTTTAGTTATTTCCTCCGTTAATCTCTGGTCGGAGCACCCCGATGTGATCGGGTATCACGGTTTCAGCTACCTTGATCTGGAATGTCAATATATATATATATATATATATATATATATACAGCATGTTTCTTGCATTGTTATTATTATGAACTTTGTTGACGAGAGGGCGATATTGCTGACCTATGTTCAATTATTACCAGTATTTAAACCCGAAAATGTTACATTTAAATACAGACAAATCAGTTGTTCCACATAAATGTACTGCCACAAACTGTCAAAAAAGTGAGCGATACAGGCCCGACGGGTCTCTTGTTTTACTTGCCAACCCGTTATGAATAGACGTATTATATTTACCGTGAATCGAGCAAGCCTTATATGTACAGGCGGGTTCTGATTGATAATAACACCAACGGTTACATTACAATATAAATCATTTTACGAGACCCTCCCCCTCCTATGAATCATACTTATATATATATATATATACAATACTGTCTGTGACCCCTAACATTTCCCTACAGCACATTAGCACATGCAGAGAATGATTATACATCATACCATGCTCCTAATTATATAATACGGGTGTTTGATGATCAATCGTCAGCTGATATTGATGTATCAAAGTTTTGTTTGACCATAACCCCCTCCCCCTCCTCCTCCTCCTCCTCCCCCATTCACACTTTTAGTCTGTGAATCAACCAATGCAGTTTAAGTATCCCGGCACCACTGTCAAAACCTGTAACTACACATAGAAAAATCTGGTTTCTGACATGATGATAGCTTTATGCATCATTCCGTCATCCTCGATATCCAGATGTTACGCTCACTCACTTTCGCTCTCTTCACCCCTGGAATATGTCATAGCGAAATTGAAGGCACGAAGACAGCTGTTTGATTGGTCTCAGGCTAAAAAGAACTGACCAATCGCTAGGCTGATATCTGTCCTTTGAAGGTTACAAAGGAGAGACACCCGACTTCAAAGTCTGTCAATTCTTACCGTTACGTGACCGCGAGATTCTTTTGATGTACATCAAAGGATCGAACTAGTCTTCTTGTCTCATCAACAAGTTGGCGCACACTTAGCCTTCAATTTTGCTATGACAAATTCCAGGGGTGCAGAGAGCGAAAGTGGGCGCAACCCCTGGATATCGAGGATGCTGTAAAAGGACACCGTACCTTATAGGTATTTAATGAAAAGATTATAAAGATAAACAAACCGTAGTCGACAACCATGTTCTGAGTATAAAGTCGGAAGTGTCCTGGCCAAACTGTGGTATATGTATATGCAAATCGAAATGATAAGAAAGTTACTGTATATACGGGGGGGGGGACAGTGCAGTGGCACAGGGGTCCTTGATATAATAATAATATCGAAGTTATATCAAAATACAAATTGTAAGCTAAAGAAGAGTATCTCCTTGTCACAAATTTGAAAAAAATAATATCTTCACCTTGATGAAAGTGGCACGGTAGTCTAGTGGTAGGACGCCGGGCTCGTGACCGAAGGGTTGCGTGTTCGAGTCACGGCACGGCACTTTATTGTATCTTTGAGCAAGATACTTTAATCCGCTTGTTCAGTCTACTCAGCTGTTCATGAGTACGTGGTTGGGCAGTGCTAGAATTGTGAATGCTAGCTGTTAGCGCCGAAATGGCAGCTCCGGCTGAATGCTCCCCATGGAGTTGAGAAAGGTATTGGCTGGTTGCAAAGGCCTTATAACCACGGATAATACTTTGTGACCCCGCTTTGAGACGACCTACGGACTAGGTTGGGATAAAGCGGTTTAAAAGAATCTCGAATTATTATTATTATTATTATGAAGAGGGGAGGCATTTTTTTTTTATCTAGACCATCCTCGATACTTCATCCAATGTTCACGCTCGCCTCCCCTCTTCTGCTGAGATCAAAAGTGAGCGTAATCACTGGAGTATTGAGAATGGATCTAGACTTACCTTACCAACAAAACGTAATTTAGATTTACCTCGTTGTGTATAATGACTGTATCCAAGTTTAGTGTGTTTCCTTACATTAACAACCGTGGCGTCACGATTGGCGCAGAGGATAACGCACTCGCCCTTCACCAAGGCGGCCGGGGTTCGATTCCCCAATTGGCCGTTAAAAGCTATGGGATCACCTAACCGACCACGTGTTTTTTTTCCGGTTTCCTCCCTCATTAAGACCCTCCGCTCGCTAATATCCAGGCCAACAAATGTGATCAATATAAGTTGAAATAGCATGTTTCATAATTGTTGTAAAATAAATAAAGTTTATATAAAGTTAAACACTGATATACCATATCTTAGAGGATATCATGTCCGTCATTTATGTAATAGTTGGAGATCCGTCATGTGCCAACAACACAGCTAATGCACAGTAATGGGACTTGGAGAGTTATGTGATAAATGCGCTTCCCAATCGTTAAGCATATGTGTATTACTCACACGTTGAAATATCAAGAATCCAAGAATAATGCTTTCTTTACATTCCAAAATGTGATAGATGATCACTAGACTAATTTGTATATATTCGGACTCCTCCATAATCTCAGTAAGAACGCAAGAAACGGAAGAAATTATCGAAGAGACTTGGAATTTTATTTCTCAATAAATGTTTACATGTCTTTGCAGATATAAAGTAAACTCACCACGAATTCAAGGTGGCGGCGAGGAACCCGGCAGTCACGGCGGTTGCCACCGTCAGGCGTTCATCTTCCCTTCGGAATGTCTCTAAAAGGAAGAAGGGTTCCGGTACTGTCCGAAGAACGAGCAGTTTTAGTTTGCTTGCAAGACCAAGTAAACCAGGAGATCGCCTTACAGTGGAAACTTTGCAGGCGTTATCTCCCTTTGATGTAACCGGAAATGATGTTGTTTCAGGAGCTGCGCGAGCTCTTCTTCTGAACAAAGTGAAAATGGAGAAACACGTGCATGATCTTTTCTTTCCTCACGAGACAAATGATCCGCTATTGGATAATTTTGACACTCGGGGATTTCCGGTAGACAAACTCGGAACTGCTCTTGTGGCACAGGCTATTTCTATTAACAAAGACGATCACAAGTTTCACTCTATGATTGATAAGCGCGCCCTGGCGGACGTTCTTGAAGAACTATACAACAGCCTTCATTGGAAGAAACTAGGTAGGATATGCGTCTGTTTGATTTTTGGTTGGGTTCTTGTAAGTCTTCATTTTATTAATGTTTGTGTATTCTGGATCATAAGAGACGAACGAGTATTGAAGCGGTCGGGAATACGGGCACGACATTGGAGGGATAAAAACCCATTGCGATACTTCGGATCTCTGTCTCTCTATCGATCCACCATTTCTGTGATACCCTAGTCAGATAAAGTTACACTGATGTCAGAATGGGATGCTGTACCACGATACTGTCCGTGTTAGAATCATCCAGAGGTTACGCCCACTTTCGCTCTCTGCATCCCAGGAATATGTCATGGCAAAATCAAAGGCTCAGTGTGTACCACTTTGTAGAAGATACGAGAAGGCTAGTTTGATCATTTGCTGTGCATCAAAAGAATATCGCGGTCGCGTAGCGGTAAAACGTATTGGCTTTGAAGTCGGGCGTCGCTCCTTTGTAATCTTCAATGGACAAGTGTCACCCAAGTGATTGGTCAGGTGTTTTTTTTACCTGACACCAATCAAATAGCTAGCCGCGTGCCTTCAATTTTGCTATACTATATTCCAGAGGTACAGAGAGCGAAAGTGAGCTAACCATTGGAGTAAGCGGTTCGAAATTAGGGGGGGAAAGGGCTAAAATATAAATAACAGTTAAATGAACACGGTTACTACAATAGGTGTCAGCAGCTAGCATCCCCGGTTTTTGGGATTGACATAGCATTCTGATTATTCTGAATTGTTTAACAAAAACCTGTTAAAGTCCCTGTAAAGTGTGTAAGTTTGAGTATAACATTTACTATCTATAATACAGGTCACAGGTATAATGTGAAAGATAGCAAATATCCTTAACTCTAATCCCAGATATCGTGGGTAAGGTAGTATATATCCTTAATTCTAATCACAGATATCGTGGGTAAGGTAGTATATATCCTTAGCTCTAACACAAATCACTGGTATTATGTGTAAGGTAGTATATATCCGTAGCTCTAACACAAATCACTGGTATTATGTGTAAGGTAGTATATATCCGTAGCTCTAACACAAATCACTGGTATTATGTGTAAGGTAGTATATATCCGTAGCTCTAACACAAATCACTGGTATTATGTGTAAGGTAGTATATATCCGTAGCTCTAACACAAATCACTGGTATTATGTGTAAGGTAGTATATATCCGTAGCTCTAACACAAATCACTGGTATTATGTGTAAGGTAGTATATATCCGTAGCTCTAACACAAATCACTGGTATTATGTGTAAGGTAGTATATATCCGTAGCTCTAACACAAATCACTGGTATTATGTGTAAGGTAGTATATATCCGTAGCTCTAACACAAATCACTGGTATTATGTGTAAGGTAGTATATATCCGTAGCTCTAACACAAATCACTGGTATTATGTGTAAGGTAGTATATATCCGTAGCTCTAACACAAATCACTGGTATTATGTGTAAGGTAGTATATATCCGTAGCTCTAACACAAATCACTGGTATTATGTGTAAGGTAGTATATATCCGTAGCTCTAACACAAATCACTGGTATTATGTGTAAGGTAGTATATATCCGTAGCTCTAACACAAATCACTGGTATTATGTGTAAGGTAGTATATATCCGTAGCTCTAACACAAATCACTGGTATTATGTGTAAGGTAGTATATATCCGTAGCTCTAACACAAATCACTGGTATTATGTGTAAGGTAGTATATATCCTTAGCTCATACACAAATCACTGGTATTATGTGTAAGGTAGTATATATCCGTAGCTTTAACACAAATCACTGGTATTATGTGTAAGGTAGTATTTATCCTTAGCTTTAACACAAATCACAGGATTTAAATTATAAGCTTATGCACGTGTGCGTTATGATAACAGGAAATGATATTTTCACAGGGTTTTGCCTATATACATTGCTGTACCCAGATGAAGTGCGGAACGATGTCTTAGGGATTTGTCTCCGTGACTTTATCGAGGATCGAGGGTAAGTGTGTATGACCTAATGGGGGTATGTCTGATGGACTTTACCGAGGACAGAGTGTAAGTAAGGAATGACGAATTGGGGGTATGTCTGAAGGACTTTACCGAAGTGTAAGTAAGGAATGCCGTATTGGGGGTATGTCTGGTGGGCTTTACCGAGGACAGAGCGTAAGTAAGGAATGACGGATTGGGGGTATGTCTGATTGACTTTACCGCGGACAGAGTTTAAGTAAGGAATGACCTATTGGGGGAAAGTCTGATGGACTTTACGGAGGACAGAGTGTAAGGAAGGAATGACGTATTATGGGTTAGTCTGATGGACTTTACGGAGGACAGAGTGTAAGTACGGAATGACGTATTGGGGTTATGTCTGATGGACTTTCCCGAGGACAGAGTGTAAGGAAGGAATGGCGTATTGGGGGTATGTCTAATGGACTTTACCCAGGACAGAGTGTAAGTACGGAATGACGTATTGGGGGCATGTCTAATGGACTTTACCCAGGACAGAGTGTAAGTATCGAACGACGTATTGGGGGTATGTCTGGTGGGCTTTACCGAGGACAGAGAGTAAGTAAGGAATGACGAATTGGAGGTATGCCTGATGGACTTTACCGAAGACAGAGTGTAAGTAAGAAATGACGTATTGGGGGTTTGTCTGATGGACTTTGCCGAGGACAGAGTGTAAATAAGGAATGACGTATTGGGGGTTTATCTGATGGACTTTACCGGTGACAGAGTGTAAGTAAGAAATGACGTATTGGGGGTTAGTCTGAAGGACTTTACCGAGGACGGAGTGTAAGTAAGGAATGAGTAATTACAATATATTTAAATATTCCTTACTTACACTCTGACATAGGTAAAGTCCATCAGACTTAGCCCCAATACGTCATTCCTGACTTATACTCTGTCCTCGGTAAAATCCATCAGACATACCCCCACTTACACTCTGTCCTCCGTAAAGTCCATCAGACTAGCCCCCAATACGTCATTCCCTACTTACACTCTGTCCTCCGTAAAGTCCATCAGACTTAGCCCCAATACGTCATTCCTGACTTATACTCTGTCCTCGGTAAAATCCATCAGACATACCCCGAATACGTCATTCCTTACGTACACTCTGTCCTCGGTACAGTCCATCAGGCATACCCCCAGTTCGTCATTCCTTACTTACGCTCTGTCCTCGGTAAAGCCCACCAGACATACCCCCAATACGCCATTCCTTATTTAAACTCTGTCCTCGGTAAAATCCATCAGACATACCCCGAATACGGCATTCCTTACTTACACTTCGGTAAAGTCCTTCAGACTAACCCCCAATACGCCATTACTTACTTACACTCTGTCACCGGTAAAGTCCATCAGACTAACCCCCAATTCGTCATTCCTTAAGGAATGACGAATTGGGGGTATGTCTGATTGACTTTACCGAGGACAGCGTGTAAGTAAGGAATGAAGTATTAGGGGTATGTCTGATGGATTTTACCGAGGACAGAGTTTAAATAAGGAATGGCGTATTGGGGGTATGTCTGATTGACTTTACCGAGGACAGAGTGTAAGTAAGGAATGACGAATTGGGGGTATGTCTGATGGACTTTACCGAGGACAGAGTGTAAGTAAGGAATGACGTATTGGGGGTATGTCTGATGGATTTTACCGAGGACAGAGTGTAAATAAGGAATGACGTATTGGGGGTTAGTCTGATGGACTTTTCCGAGGACAGAGTGTAAGTAAGGAATGACGTATTATGGGTTAGTCTGATGGACTTTACCGAGGACAGAGTGTAAGTAAGGAATGACGTATTATGGGTTAGCCTGATGGACTTTCCCGAGGACAGAGTGTGAGTAAGGAATGGCGTATTGGGGGTATGTCTGTTGGACTTTACCGAGGGCAGAGTGTAAGCAAGGAATGACGAATTGGGGGTATGCCTGATGGATTTTACCGAGGACAGAGCGTAAGTAAGGAATGACGCATTGGGGGTAAGTCTGATGGACTTTTCCGAGGAAAGAGTGTAAGTAAGGGATGACGTATTATGGGATAGTCTGATGGACTTTTCCGAGGACGGAGTGTAAGTAAGGATGACGTATTGGGGGTTCGTCTGATGGACTTTTCCGAGGAAAGAGTGTAAGTAAGGAATGTCGTATTGGGTGTATGTCTGATGGTCTTTACCGAGGACAGAGTGTAAGTAAGGAATGACGTATTGGGGGTAAGTCTGGAGGACTTTACCGAGGACAGAGTGTAAGTAAGGAATGGCGTATTGGGGGTATGTCTGATGGACTTTACCGAGGACAGAGTTTAAGTAAGGAATGACGTATTGGGGGTATGTCTGATTGACTTTACCGAGGACAGAGTGTAAGTAAGGAATGACGTATTGGGGGTAAGTCTGATGGACTTTACCGAGGACAGAGTGTAAGTAAGGAATGACGTATTGGGGGTATGTCTGATTGACTTTACCGAGGACAGAGTGTAAGTAAGGAATGACGTATTGGGGGTAAGTCTGATGGACTTTACCGATGACAGAGTGTAAGTAAGGAATGACGTATTGGGGGTATGTCTGATTGACTTTACCGAGGACAGAGTGTAAGTAAGGAATGACGTATTGGGGGTAAGTCTGATGGACTTTACCGATGACAGAGTGTAAGTAAGGAATGACGTATTGGGGGTTAGTCTGATGGACTTTACCGAGGACAGGGTGTAAATAAGGAATGACGTATTAGGGGTAAGTCTGAAGGACTTTACCGAGGACGGAGTGTAAGTAAGGAATGACGTATTGGGGGTATGTCTGATGGACTTTACCGAGGACAGAGTTTAAGTAAGGAACGACGTATTGGGGGTATGTCTGATGGACTTTACCGAGGACAGAGTTTAAGTAAGGAACGACGTATTGGGGGTATGTCTGATGGACTTTACCGAGGACAGAGTGTAAGTAAGGATGACGTATTGGGGGTTAGTCTGATGGACTTTACCGAGGTCAGAGTTTAAGTAAGGAATGACGTATTGGGGGTATGTCTGAAGGACTTTACCGAGGACAGAGTGTAAGTAAGGAACGACGTATTGGGGGTAAGTCTGATGGACTTTACCGATGACAGAGTGTAAGTAAGGAATGACGTATTAGGGGTATGTCTGATGAACTTTACCGAGGACAGAGTGTAAGTAAGGAATGACGTATTGGGGGTATGTCTGATGGACTTGACCGAGGACAGAGTGTAAATAAGGAATGACGTATTGTGGGTAAGTCTGATGGACTTTACCGATGACAGAGTGTAAGGAAGGAATGACGTATTGGGGGTGTGTCTGATGGACTTTACCGAGGACAGAGTGTAAGTAAGGAATGACGTCATAGAGATAATTTGTCAGAGGGATTTTATAAAGGACAAAGAGAAAATTGAAATAACGTCCTAGGTATTGTTATGTTATGATGGATTTTATCGAAAGCAGAGGGTAAGATACAATAACATAATATAATAAACTTTATTTATTTTACAACAATTATTGAAACAAGTTATTTCAACTTGTATAAATCACTCTTGTTGGCCCGGATGTAAATGCGCGGGAGGTCATATTGTTGGAGGAAACCGGAGTACCTTGAGAAAAACCACGTGGTCGGGCAGGTGACCCCCTACCTTTTCACGTCCGATCGGGGAATCGAACCCCGGCCGCATTGGCGAAAGGCAAGTGCGCTATCCATTGCACCAACCGACCACCCCGCCATTTTTATTTCTGCTTAAATTCATTTACATTGCGTTCTGTGCAATCTCTTAAACACCGCATTATAAATGAAACAAATTGTGAACGCTCCTGGCTCAGAATTGCATTTCAATTTGTTCTCTGTGTTCACTTCATCCGCCATTTTGTTTCCAGTCACGTTTGGGCGGAGAAATTGCTCTCGCACATCATGGAACCCCGGTGGACGGCGATGTGGCAATACAAGATCGTGCGAGGCCAGACTTCAGAAGAGAAATATAACCGCGAGATGAACGCTCTCTTTGTTAAGCTACATCTACTGGACCCACAGTCCGTTATACCCGCCTATCAGTTCTTACTCAATCAACGAGGTAAGGATCATATATACACCTTCTGTTTCTTAAATCGCCTACCAGTTACTTCTCATATGTCATTCTCAAGAATTTTGATGACGTTTGGTACATCTAGGACTGGAGAATGTTTGGATGCTAAGACACAACAAGATAACTGGATAAGTTTGGTATGCTCAGACACAAGTTTGGTATATCTAGGTCTGGACGATGTTTGGATAGTTTTACATATTTAGGTCTGGAGAATGTTTGGACAATTTGGTACATCTAGGTCTGGAGAATGTTTGGACAGTTTGGTATATCTAGGTCTGGAGGATGTTTGGATAGTTTTATATATCTAGGTCTGGAGAATGTTTGGACAATTTGGTATATCTAGGTCTGGAGAATGTTTGGACAGTTTGGTATATCTAGGTCTGGAGGATGTTTGGATAGTTTGGTATATCTAGGTCTGGAGGATGTTTGGACAGTTTGGTATATCTAGGTCTGGAGGATGTTTGGACACTCAGGTACGCGATTACTGGTGAAGTTTGGTATATCTAGGTCTGGAGATTTTTTGGACAGTTTGGTATATCTAGTTCTGGAGGATGTTTGGACACTCAGGTACGCGACTACTGGTGAAGTTTGGTATATCTAGGTCTGGAGAATTTTTGACACTCAGACACGATATTATTGGTGTAGTTTGATACTAAGTATATTTCGTAATTCTAAACAATATTTATTGCACTAAGATTAATCGACTAAGCGTGAAGTCGTCGGATTTGACTCTCTAATACACGATTTGTTAACTTTGGAGTCAATAAGCTTGTGTTAATACGTTTAAAGAAGACGTACGTATTAGATTATTTACGTAAAATGGATACGCTAATCTATTAGGACTTAAAACGTTAAGCGGATTTGTCTAGCATGGCAGGCTTACGAATATGGGACAAGTCAAATGTATAAATGCTCTATAATCTGAACTACAAATTAAGTTGTTTAACTGTGCTAGAAAATTTGCTGTCATGTTTCATAATTTATCAATGGTGTTTTCTCCTCTATGTTTATCATACGTCTTGGGTTTTTTTCTCTCACATCCATACTATCTTCTATGCCTTATAAAGCGATACATTTACGCAAGTTCTCCTATTCCGTCTTTGCGTATTGCAGAGTTATCTTCTCTTGGTAGCAGGTATTGATTGTTACGTCATTGGTCTGTGTGAGAAAATTACGTCGTTTTCTCAAAAATTGATGACGTTACTCTCACAAACAAGTGACGTAACAATCAATACCTTTTCCCAAGAGAAGATAACTCTGCAATACGCAAAGACGGAATAATAAACATTTGTGCCAATATTGTCTATTTGACACAAGAACAACAAGAACACATTACTAAAGTGCAAATCGGGGCGACCACACCGCGTACTGAGTGGTCCTGGCTGACACTCGTGGGGTGTCAAATCAGGGCGACCACACCGCATACTGAATGGCCCTGACTGACACTCGTGGGGTGTCAAATCGGGGCGACCACACCGCGTACTGAATGGCCCTGACTGACAGTAGTGGGGTGTCAAATCGGGGCGACCACACCGCGTACTGAATGGTCCTGACTGCCACTCGTGGGGTGTCAAATCGGGGCCACCACATCGCGTACTGAATGGTCCTGACTGACAGTCGTGGGATGTCAAATCGGGGCGACCACACCGCTTACTGAATGGTCCTGACTGACACTCGTAGGGTGTCAAATCAGGGCCACCACACCGCGTACTGAATGGTCCTTACTGACAGTCGTGGGGTGTCAAATCTTGGCGACCACACCGCGTACTTAATGGTCCTAACTGACACTCGTGGGGCGTCAAATCGGGGCGACCACACCGCGGACTGAATGGTCCTGACTGACACTCGTGGGGTTTCAAATACTCGTGGGGTGTCAAATCGGGGCGGCCACACCGCGTACTGAATGGCCCTGACTGACAGTAGTGGGGGGTCAAATCGGGGCGACCACACCGCGCACTGAATGGTCCTGACTGACACTCGTGGGGCGTCAAATCGGGGCGACCACACCGCGAACTGAATGGTCCTGACTGACACTCGTGGGGTTTCAAATACTCGTGGGGTGTCAAATCGGGGCGGCCACACCGCGTACTGAATGGCCCTGACTGATATTCGTGGGGTGTCAAATATTACAAATGAAATTCATCATCAAAAATTATTTAACACAATAATATACAATAAATTCAAACATCAACTTGTCATATATACAAGAACACATTACTAAAGTGCAAATCGGGGAGACCACACCGCGTACTGAGTGGTCCTGGCTGACACTCATGGGGTGTCAAATCAGGGCGACCACACCGCTTACTGACTGGTCCTGACTGACACTCGTGGGGTGTCAAGAAGATAACTCTGCAATACGCAAAGACGGAATAATAAACATTTGTGCCAATATTGTCTATTTGACACAAGAACAACAAGAACACATTACTAAAGTGCAAATCGGGGCGACCACCCCGCGTACTGAATGGTCCTGACTGACGCTCGTGGGGTGTCAAATCGGGGCCACCACATCGCGTACTGAATGGTACTGACTGACAGTCGTGGGGTGTCAAATCTTGGCGACCACACCGCGTACTGAGTGGTCCTGGCTGACACTCGTGGGGAGTCAAATCAGGGCGACCACACCGCATACTGAATGGCCCTGACTGACCCTCGTGGGGTGTCAAATCGGGGCGACCACTCCGCGTACTGAATGGTCCTGACTGAAACTCGTGGGGTGTCAAATCGGGGCGGCCACACCGCGTACTGAATGGTCCTGATTGACACTCGTGGGGTTTCAAATCTTGGCGACCACACCGCGGACTGAATGGTCCTGACTGACACTCGTCGGGTGTCAAATCGGGGCCACCACACCGCGTACCGAATGGTCCTGACTGACAGTCGTGGAGTGTCAAATCGGGGCCACCACACCGCGTACCGAATGGTCCTGACTGACAGTCGTGGGATGTCAAATCGGGGCGACCACACCGCGGACTGAATGGTCCTGACTGACACTCGTGTGGTGTCAAATCGGGGCCACCACACCGCGTACCGAATGGTCCTGACTGACAGTCGTGGGATGTCAAATCGGGGCGACCACACCGCTTACTGAATGGTCCTGACTGACACTCGTGGGGTTTCAAATCTTGGCGACCACACCGCGTACTGAATGGTCCTAACTGACACTCGTGGGGTGTCAAATCGGGGCGACCACACTGCGTACTGAATGGCCCTGACTGACATTCGTGGGGTGTCAAATCTGGGCGACCACACCGAGTACTGAATGGTCCTGACTGATATTCGTGGGGTGTCAAATAGGGGCGACCACACCGCGTACTGAATGGTCCTGACTAACACTCGTGGGGTGTCAAATCGGGGCGACCACACACCGTACTGAATGGTCCTGACTGACACTCGTGGGGTGGCAAATCGGGGCGACCACACCGCGTACTGAATGGCCCTGACTGATACTCGTGGGGTGTCAAATCGGGGCGACCACACCGCGTACTGAATGGCCCTGACTGATATTCGTGGGGTGTCAAATCGGGGCGACCACACCGCGTACTGAATGGTCCTGACTGATATTCGTGGGGTGTCAAATATTACAAATGAAATTCATCATCAAAAATTATTTAACACAATAATATACAATAAATTCAAACATCAACTTGTCATATATACCAAAGGCCTACATCCAATATGAGAAGTAATTTCGATAACATAAACCTTATACAAACGAAAGTTATGTGTACACATGAACGATCATGTATTTACTGCGTAACTTGTATTACTGCATAATCTGACCGGGCTACACTGGCCCATACCGCTTCACGGTCCGAAATGTCTCAATTACAACTTCGCCACGTAAATAGAAACACGACTACTTAACGTGACTTCTATCAGGCAACCCGATACATACTTTTAAAGTGTCCAAAAAATTAATATCTGGCTACGTCTATACGCTACGAGCGTGGTCACTTGAACGACCAAGTACTATATATGCACGTGCATCATGAACCCGCGAGCAGCGCCACCTGGTGGCACGTATTCCCATAGGAGAAAGCAATTTCGTTCAAATTTGTTCCTCAAACGACAGAAATTATATACTTCCCTGGAACAGTAATATCTATTCAATTATATTTAGACCCCATGTCGCTCGGGTACGCTACTTTATCAATGCTGGTAATATACTATTTAGCATGCCAAACATGGCCAATCCACAATTCAACATAATCATTTGAAGATTTGATTATCATCGTTTATAATGGTAAATACCGATACATTTTATGAATACATATTTATGAGTTATCACTGCTGCACATAACTTTAAAACAAGCATAGTATAATATAATGCTTTGGCTTGATACAAAAACAGAACATGTATTGGTATTTACCATAATAAACCCTGATAATCAAATCTCCATGATTATGTAAAATTTTGCATTAGCCATATTTGGCACGTTAAAAAAGTATTTAACCGGTTTTGATATTACATAATAATGATTCTGTAGACAGTATATATATATGAACAGTTTTTTAAGAAGTATAAAATGTAGACAATTTCACAATAATGGGTATATTTCAAATTTTCTAAAAGTTATGCATGTGTTTCTATTTAAAGTATCACTACGCTTACCTCATGTAAATCAATATGACATATTTCGTATCAAAATAACAGTAATTTTATACACTATACACTTTCTTCATTCATTTTCAAAATAATTCGTCTGTGACATTTATCTGCCATATCGTAAGGATACCCCCGTCACTCAACCTGGTGTTATGCAAGGAGGTCCACTACGGTTATCAGTAGTAATAATGAATAATCACATATGCAGTTATTGATCATTTTTATGCGTCTATATATGGTGATTTTTTTAAAGAAATTGAGGTGGGGGTCAAATGTTGACCATATCTTTTGCAATTCGTGAATTAAGGAGTTTTATGCACCTACCCTTCAGTTTCATAGGAGATTGGACCGATTTCGATTTCCATGTTTTCGGCCCCTACCATCACTAAGGCCGGAACCGCGGTATTGGGCAATTCATTTTAGGCATTTTGACATAAGTGTTTTAACTTAAATTTCCCCTGATTTAAGAAACAATTTGCATATATTTTAAAATCTTTTGACGTAGTGTAAATATAATTGCTATTGGTTTAACTATTATACAAAGATTTTCCCCATTTGGTAAATGTTTATGTCTGAGAGGGGCTTGTCCGTTGTTCGTCATCTTCCAGGCTCCAATATGCATTACAGCCATTTCAGATTGATCGTACCCAAATTCTGAAAGGTAAATGTTTGCAACATTTATTCAAAGTTAGGGATTCTACTATGTTTGTGTACGGGGCAAAATCCGTTTCCCCTCAGGTACAGCAGTTGATCTGACTCAATGTGTATACATTGTGTAATACTGTTTTTTTAGGAACGAGGCTAATTTTACTATTTTCTTTGATCATTGACACAGTCAGTCGTGCCGACTGATCACATGCACTGGGCTCGTCTGTCAATACACCTATAATATTATCAAGATTGCTGACTCCGTCCCCCTAGTAAGATGACTCAGTTCCAGAAAACATGCGATTTTGTCATAACCGTTCATAGTATGACACCGGGAGCAGTCTAGATCGACAGGAAAATAGTTGTTTCTTTAATTTTACTAGGGTGACGGAGTTAGCAATCTTGATTATATTATAGGTGTATTGACTGACGAGGCTAGTACCTGTAGACTGGTCGGGTCGTCACGACAGAGCGACAGATTGTCGGTGAATTGAAACACGTTATACGACTATTGGAGGTCATCTGTACACTTAAATTACACTTCAGTCTTTTAGACTCGGATGGTTAACAGAAACGTGCATTGATCTTGTCAGGTAAATATAAATCCTTGTTATGATTCCTTTCAGCTTTGCCAACCGTAAACTTAGAGTTAGCTACCCGGAACTACCTTGGGGATGCCATAGATTGTGCGGAGATAGAGGAAGAAGTGCTGGACGCCATAACGAGGTCGAGCATGCCTATTAATGTGTCCAGATTGAGTCTATCGGACATCGAAATATTCTACGGTGTGGAAGTGGACGAATTTATTGTGACGTGGTGTCGGAACATTGGTGTGTGGAGCGGAAACAGGGCGGACAATAGTCGAACATCGAAACCACGTGACAGATGTTGTGTAATGTGATCTCGCGTACCACGTGATTTTTACAGGACACGTCATTACCTAAAGTATTCTTTATTTTATCAGAACAAAAACCTTTATTTGTTCGCATATGATGTCATAAACGTTCACACTGTTTTGTAATGTATATAGTCACATAAACACATTGTGGAACGTCGTGTTGATAGTCTCTTATTGGTCACGTGATAATAATTTTACGTCATGCGACAGCTTATTATATATCAAACGGATATGATACAAAATACCGGCTTTAAAATGTCTAAAGATACACGATTAACGGTGACTGGTCAATGAATACATGTATTCGGGGACTCCGTATCTAAAACCAGTTAGTGTATGCATACTCAAACGCAAAGTGAGTTGTACGATTAACGAGAATTCAACAGGTCTGTTACTCATATCATAATCTAATTAAAATTATATCTTCACATCGCTCCATTTTACTGATATGTCGCGTTGAAGATCTAACAACATCCCGTAGAGGGTCATGTTCAGGCGACCTTTGCATTAACCAATCAGATGAGAGCTTACGCATTTCTGTAAGTGATGATGTAATGATTTTGGAACACACTTGCTATGATAAAAGACCGAGAGGTGTCAAATGAGCATCGAAAATGGCGGCGCCATGACACCACGCCGTGTCTATCTACAAGACAACATTTGTACAATTTGTGGATTTTGCTTTGAAATAAGAGAGACTTCCTCTTCTGGTGATGTTGTCGTTAAAAGTTTAACAACCTGAAACTAAAATTAACCAATGACAGGCTTCGCAATATTCAAACTATCACTGGACCAGACGAAAAGGTGGATTTTGGGCTACGAGGTGTCTGCATTAAATGCTACAGGTCCTGCTTTCTGATTGGTTGAAAGAAAGAGTTATGTCGCGTTTTGATTGGCTTGTTATAAATACGATAACACATTCATGTTGACCTCTGACGTGACCCTCTATGGCATGTTGTTAAATCTGCAACGCGACATATCAGTAAACGGGAGCGATGTGAAGATATCATTTTAATTAGATTGCTCATATCACATTTTGTGCTAATTTAGCCAATTCTACAAAGATAGACAATGCACGTGTAACTTTCTCCCAAAAGCTTTATACATTCCTGAATGTGTCTACATAGGCCAAGGTAAAGTGTACAACTGCATCAGTTATAACGCAAAGAAGATGAAGTTCTTAAAAGAAAGAGATAATTCCGATTTAGAGTTATTTCCCTTGTCAACGTAATCATCTCTCATTTTGAATCTCAGCATTTATACCTCACGGATAGTTGCATAGGTGTAGTAAAAGTAAAAGATTGCTTTCGTTTTTGTTCATTTTTCATTAAATATTAAACAAATTCTAATGAATACGATTCTGAAAAATGCAACTCTTAAATGTGATTCGTTTGGACTACTTTTGTAGAGGACTTAAACACATTTAATGTTAAAACAAATTATATTTCTTTCTAGATTTGCCTCTGACATTACTTTACCAGGATTTCTATTTGAAGCCGTCCGATATGTTTTTCAAATATGGGAGATAATTCATAGGAAACACCGAAATATATAGAGGGCATATGGCTGACACAAAACCAATTAAATATACTGTATTCTTTGGTTTTTATCAATTAATTGTCATATCTAAAAAAGGTAAAGATGAACCAGTGTCACTATAATACAATATTTTATTCCTTTTCAGAAAAGGCATTCCATAAAAATCATATGGTGCGATGCATTAAACAGAATTATTTTTGATCGAAAGTAAAATATTTGAAAATGGGGACATATGGAAACCTGCATGTGTTGAGCTTGGGACGTTTTCACTGCCAGTCCTTAACTTTACATGAACAGCATTTAGATCAATGGCCTACGAAAAAATAAATAAACATTGAAAGTCTTATTCATAGAAGGGATACTAATCGGAAACCAAAAAACTGGAAGTGGATTTCCCCTATGCGATTATAGCCTCTCTACCCAGAGTTGTCTTTCCTTACACTCAGCAAATGTTAGGAACGGTAACTCTTGGTAGAGATTGCGGTCCATTTACCTTGGGTGGCAGAGTACAGTAGAAATGGCTTGACCCTAAAAATAAAGGGCATGTCTCGGATAAACATGGATAGCGGATTCATCCTGCACAACACACCTACATATATGTATATATTTATAAACTACATTTTGAATAGGTGTTTTTTAAAAGAACATTTTTTTTTCAAAAAGTGATTTCCCCAGATTTGGGACTTCTGAAAACCATGGTTACCACATCAAAAAACACCAAAATATGCAAAAAATCATGATTTTTAACCCAGAATTTGACCCCCGCAAGTAGAATTGTTTTTCTTAAAACCTGTCTGAAATTAAATATCGCCTACTCGGTAACAGAAATACTCACGTTTTAGCATAGGTCATTCCGGTGGATTTTTCACAATATTTACACATGTGCTGAGTACAAAAATAGACTACATGAAAAGCTAGCTTTTGTTGTGTAGACACAGATTTGTAAATGCCCAAAATTGTAGTCTCAAACCAAATTCGATTTTTTTTTTGAAAAATTATGAAGCCCACATAGTCCACTTCATCATGTATATGCCAATTTTAGTGCTGATTTTTTTTTTAAATTTTGATACATGTTATATTTTAGGGGTTATTCATTGTATAAAAATATCACCCATGGCCACCGTACGCTACTGTACTCTGCTACCTTGATTATGTTTTCTTTAACGAGGTAGTAACATTTTTTCGTGAAGTTAATTGTTAATTTTTATTCATTGTTTAAATAGATAAACATACAATTTATCCTTTATTTTAAACCACATTTCTTTGGTGAATTCTGGCACTCAAGTACTTCCCGAACACCTCAGTTTGTTAATACGAATGGTGCGACTTCGGGGTTAATATGAAAAGGCAAAGCCTTAAAAGAGCGTAGCTTTTGTTGATCTCTGATATTTACTGATTCAGAATACAACTTTCAGAATGAGATAAGATAAACTTTATTTAAAGTCGGCTAGTCGAGGAATAACAATAAAACACAAGCTCTAATGAGACATAACATACCATAACCGACATAACAATCGGGAGACCGGGGCAAGTTTGTCATTTTTAGCTAAGGCGTTAGCCGCCAGCTATTGGTATTACTTTAGTTAATGAGCTCAGATATTCATAAATGTCGATTTCACACAGACGGCCTCTAGCGGTAGTCACTGGTACTAAATTGAATCATATACCGGACCTACTGTCTTTATTATGCGTAACTTTGGACTCAAATGCACTTGAATGGCTTGTAAATATCATTACTTTTCTTTA